TTTTGTTTATTTTTAATTCTCAAATGAGTAGCACAGTGCTGGGTGAGTAGCTAATGGGATTTGGGCATGGGGGCAAGAGAATAATCATGAGAAGGAACCACAGAAGCTAAGCCGGTCAAGGAGGAGAGTAGTGAAATGGGGGATGACAGTCCGTGAAAACATACCAAGTTGGAGTGATGGTGCTAAGGGTGGTGACTAGAGAGAGAAGAAGAGATGACCACAGCATGGCATGCTTGAAATAGAACTGTTGGCGATGCCCACAATTAGTCATGACACAGTACGTGGTATAACCATGAGTGTGGTGGCTGATGTTCAGGCAGTGGCAGAACAAGATTTTCAAAAGTCATCAAGGAGCTGAATGGCCAAGATGGTGAATGGAGTATGAGTGGGGAGGGTGAACGGGTTAGGTGCTAGAATATTCAGTCAATGATAAGGAGACGTGCTTGTAAGAAGGTCATTAGAGAGGAAGAAGGATCAAAGGTCTGAAAGCAGCTGCAAATAGCAAAGCAAGGTCTGTTTCCCCTTCAGGCCAATAATATGCAGGTTGCAGGAGAGGAAAACAGCTGGGCTTGAGAGAGAGGTCTGCAGGGAAAGTGGCGTCTTCAGGAGGCAACCATTATTCAGAGAAGAGGACATAGGTGATGGCAGCTGTAAGATCTAGAGGGGATAATGGAAAAGTCTTAGGCAGGGGGAAGGCATTGGAGATAGAAGCAAATGAGAGAATACACTGGGCAACATGGGGATAAGCAAATAGATGAAGGAAAAATGGCATGGGAACTTGGACTATTTTGGCAACAGGTAACCAGCGATGAGAGCAAGATGGCATGACCCTGGGGATCACTTCAGTGTGGTGCATAATTAATCTAGTGAATCATGAGGGGGCAGGGAACAGGGAATGGGAGTGTGGAGAAGAGAGCGCTGGGATGGACATCCTCTATTCAGAAGAACGGGTGGGATGATCAGGGCCTCCCACAGAGGTAAGAGACAGTTTTGCTCAAAGAAAATGATGCCAGTTTGGTTTGCCCCTTAACAATTCAGTGTTCTCCTGTTGCCCTTACTCTCTACTTAAGAAAAGGCTGCCTCACAGTGGCTTATCCCTCAAGAGGCCATACAGACAGCAGCTATACAGAAGTTCATAAAGAGTATCATTCAGCCCTGGACCTGAGCCACAAATGGTGCTTTAAAAACCACACTTTTCATCAGCTAAACTTTTTACTCAAAGATCTACAGTAGTTTCAGTAGATTTTAGCTGCCTGGGGAACTGTTAGTTCTCCAAGTCACTTCAGAGCAAGAGGCCCTTAAGCTGGGCAGTTCTAACTTGCAACTCATTCCCCACTTGTGCAGTTAAGAAGACTACTAAGAGAATAATGAAACAGACCTTTGGGAGCCACAGTTCCAGCACTCCTTTCCTGTAGTTTGTGAGTTCAAACAAGGCAAAATGTTTCCAGCTCTGGATGCTTTCTTTGAATAAGAGAGTAGAAGCCACATGGGTACTAAGTGTTTTCAGGTCTCATGGTGTGCTGCTAAAGGGTTATGTACAATGCCATCTTGATGGCATGAACTGGGTAGGTCATGCTTATTTTATTGAAAAGACTCCCTAGGGTCTGCCGTGAAGGCACATTTGCCATGCTGTTCCATAGGCTAGGAAGGCCCCTTACCGAAACTGCAGCTCTGTCTCATGACTTCCTACTGGTCTTTCAGGACTCACACCAAAGTCATGGCTCTGCAGTGCTCTCCTCAGCTTCACCTTTATGGTCTCTTTAGTTTCTTCTATAGCACATCATATAACATGACAATAAGTGTAAATTTATGTACCCAGGAGGACCTAGTCCATAGCGCTCAGTTTATTCATCATAGCCCTTAGAAACATTCATTGTATGTTATCCGATACCTTTAACACCCAACATCATCTTCAGTGTAGACATGCATAGAGTTGATGAAGGACAGTTATACGTAGTTGTTTAGACATGATTTTCAGATCATGGATGTAATTGTACCATCTCAGAAAGAAAGAGTGGTTTGGGTTACTTTCCTTGCCATCAATCCCTGGTAGATTATCTGGGCACAGATGAACTTAAGAGTCTCTGAGACCAAGATATAATTATGTCCTGTGCTGGTGACCATGATACTTTTACTGCTGGTCAAATCCCTGAGGCCAGAGCCTTGCTATGTTCCTTAGAAGCTGAAACACTCTTTCAATAGAAATGATTTGAGGGCTGATAGTTTCTATTTAGTGAGCACTTACCATGTCCCAGGCACTCTGCTAATCCCTTCATCTACTGTACTACCTTCCTCATAAAAATATGATAAGGGAGGAACTATTAACCCTACTTCCAGAAAAAAACAAATTTAGGCTTATATATATTACATAACTTAAGTTCATAAAGCTATGAGGTGGCAGAGCGGGGTTTGAACCCTGGTCTTTGATTCTAAAACTCATGCATGTGGTACTCTAATCAAGTGCAGCTCTGCAGTGTAAGGAACACTGGGGTTTGTGGAAAGCAGCACATTCTTTAATGCTGTCCTGAATCCTCAAGGTGTTGTAATTATATCAGTAATATAAACTACCCAGCTTGGGAATGATTTTTTGAAGGACATCCCAGCTTGAGAATCAATGGGAATAATTACTTAAACTCCACTTGGAGTTTTTAGTCATTTCATAATGTTACATATAAAATCATGTTTCAGTGGAACTGACATCATAGGTAATTCTGTCTTAAATGTTCTCCAAAGGATACCCAGACATCTAGTTTGAATAGCGATGCTAACACAGTAGGCTCCACATCTGCAAGCAAATCCTTTATCCTGAGTTTATAACTTAAGATTCATTTTAATTACCTAAATAGTTTTAAGAGGCACATACAGGCTGCAGCAAATGAAATCTTGATATTACCTAACTACTTTGTATCTTTATTGATTTCCAATTTATTCTTATGTTAATTACAATTAATATTGTCTAGGTTTTTTGTTTAACTAATGGAAATCCAGATGAACATGCTGCTCGTGGTATCCATTGATTAGTGCCATCATCACTGAAATTGACAATTAAAATTGACAATATCATCCCTCAAATATTACAGGCCACATAACATACGTGTGTGTTTGTGTGCATTGCATTCCCAAAAATTACTGCAAACTCACTGTGCTGGCAGTCTCTTTGGCATAAGGCATGAAGGGATTTAAGAGCAAGAAGATACAATCCTGGCCTCTTACGAAGCTCCATTTATCAATGGAGTTATCAATGGAGCAAAGTGACAGGCACTGGGATAAGCACATTACATACCACCATTAACCACAGCAACATCCCTACTTTGTTGGCGTTATTATCTCCAGCTTGTAGATGAGATCAGACAAGTCAAGTTACATGGTATTGCCACGTATCTTGCATAAGGCATGTTGAGAGGCAGATCTAGGTTTGAATGGCTCTCAATTTTCTGCTATTTCCACTTCACCACTCACCCTCCTAAATTGTTTATTATTTGGTGAAGAAAATAATCCAATGTGGGAAAGACAGAAAGAGATATACGCAAATTGGGGCACAAAAAGCAACTAACACTGCTTTGAGATTCTGGGAAGCTTCATGAGGAAACTGACATTGATTTGTCTCTTAAAGGATGTTTGGAGTGTGCCAGCTAGAAGGAAGGCATCAAGAAGGACACAGCAATAGCAAGTGGAAAGTTCTAGAGGCATGAAATGGCATGGCAGGTGTGGTGTGAAGTGGTAGGAGACAAGAATGAAACTGGAGGTAGGGCCTTTTACACTATGTGAAGGGCTTTGTCCTGGGCAAGTGACAGTCATCATATGTAATTAGCAAGATCAAGCTTTGGTCAAACGAATAATTTCAAAAAGGTAACCTGCAAAGGACAAAAGTCCAGGAGAGATGCTGGAACAAAAGGTGCTGGGTAGGATGCCTTCATCAAAGGTAAGGGAAAAGTGGTTAAAGAGAGCAGATTAAAAAGGCAAAGATGAGTGGAACAGACTAGCTGGTGAGCACATTTATGAGTGAAGAATGAGGTAGAAAAGAAAAATATGAGTTGGCTGGGCGCGGTGGCTCGCACTTGTAGTCCCAGACAAATTAAGTAACCCGTCATTGCCATGCATCCTGCATAACTTTTGGGAGGCTGAGTGGGGCAGATAGCTTCAGCCCAGGCATTTGAGACCAGCCTGGGCAATATGGTGAAACCCTGTCTCTACAAAAAAATACAAAAATTAGCTGGGCATGGTGGTATATGCCTGTAGTTCCAGCTACTTGGGAGGCTGAGGTGGGAGGATCACCTGAGCCTAGGGAGGTCAAGGCTGCAGTGAACCATGATCACACCACTGCACTCAAGACTGGGTGATAGAATGAGAGAGTGAGACTGTCTCAAAAAAAACGAAAAAAAAAAAAAAAAAAGGAAAGAAAAGAAAAAAATATGAATTAACATTTATGGAGTCCTTTTTGTATTCTACTAGCAGCTGTGCTCAGCCTAACCCAAGCTATCTCATTAAGACCACATAACAACTCTATAGGAGTATTATTTTTATTATTCCAATTGCACAGAGGAAAAATAAGTTATGCATGGAAGGTTCAGTAGTAACAGCTGGCAAATTGTAGACCATTGGAATCCAAGCAGTTTGAATGAATATCTTTATGTTTTACTAGTACATCATATAGCTTTCTGGATGAGTCTGAGGTTTTTATCAACTATGATAAGGACTGGAAATAGGTGAAAAGATATGAAGGGAGATCAATTTTCACATTTTGAGTTTGAATTTCCTATCATGTGTCCAGGTGGAAGTAACTGGTTAAATAATTGAAGGACAGAGAAAAGGGAATTAAAGAAGTTATTGCTATAAAGGTACTGGTTGATACCATAGGACCACAGACACTTGCTCAGTGGGAGGGTAAAAATAAAAGCAAGACAGTGGCAAGGATGACAACGGTACAGACCACTTTCCCTCTTGAAAATAAATAAGCACATGCAAGCATTCAACCTTCAAACAATGCAAACCCCATAAACTCGAGTATGCAGTCTTTATTTCTGATTTTGACTTTTGTAACTTTCTGTTCTACTATGAGAAAGATTATTTGCCTGGCTTCTCAAAACCGTTGTCTTATTGTGAAGAACTGTTCTCTCAAAACTCTAGCTCCAAAGAGCCCTGGGTTTTTCTAGAAAATTAGCATTGCTGAGGTTCCCATATTTGCCAAAATTGGAACTTTAGGCATTCACCTTTTAAAATTATTGTATATTTTCAACAGGAAACACTGATACTATCAAAATTAGAAGCAAAATAGTTTGTTTCTTCCAAACTTTTCTTCTTCTCCTCCTGCACCCTGGCCCCCTCCCACTAGCTTCTTGCTGCAAACCAACTTTGCCAACTGTAGTAGGGAGAGAATCCCAGATGGCAATAGCCTGAGTGAGAAAAAAATGTCACTACATGACACATACTCTAGCAGTTTCACTCAGAGGGAAACAGTAATACCATTTCACTGCTGGTATTCTAAAGTGCCATTGTTGGGAGGTGGGAGAGGTTTGAGTGGGAGACAGGTGCTCACATGGGCATGGTTTAGCAAGCATTGTTTCCCAATTCCTAAGTAGCAGGAAGAATTCCTCTACAACTATCCAGCAGTTAAAGAGATTTAGTCCAGAATGACAGAGTAATTCAAAGCCTGAATGGTTAAATGCCATTCTTTACCATTTTTTTTCTTCTCTAAGGAGCATCCTGCATTGGTGATACACACTGAGAATCTGGCAAGGTAGACAGTGGGCCTCAGAAAGGGACTTTCTCGTGGAGTCTCAAAGTTCCTATGTCAAATCGTCTAGCAAAGGCAAAACTGAGTGATGCCAGGGGAAGAATTTTAAAAGCAGCTCAAGGGTTCCTGGTGATTCGACTATATTTTATAAAAGTATTTACATTTCTCTTTTTGGTCATGACAAAGTCTATTGGCACAAACAGCACAGCCAAGAAGTATTCTTCTGATTTTAATAACTCATATATTTATATATATATATATATTTATATTTTTGCTTATCTTCATTTCCTCAGCAAAAAGGGAAATAAAAATATTGATCTATAAAATAAGCTGATGATAACACAATGCCAAAAATAGCTTATGTTAAGTGCAAGGGATGAAGCTTGAAAGCAAGCTAAATTGCAACAACATATTGATTTAACATTTTAAATACAAGACTTGCAATAAAATAATTCTTGAAATATGCTTCTCATTTTTAGTTGACTTTTGAAAAACTACTCTATATACACATATCCAGTTGTAACACTTGACAGTAGCATTATGGGGCATGATATAACTTTGGTACACATTGCAGATATGGATGGTTAATGTCTGTAAATGATATTCCTTCACCAGTTAGACTTCTGTACATCCAGGTGACCAGCCACCTGGTTCTAAGTCATATCCCACCAGAATCGCTGGAGTCCTTGCCAGAGCCATTGGAGACGGCAGGCGAAAGCAGGCTCACTGGATCCATATTGTGTTTCCTCTCTCGGTTCTCCTGGGTTCCACTGTCAGTTCTCCAAATGTGGAAAAAAACTGCTCCATTTCTTTCTGTAGCATGTCATTTCTTTTCTCAGCATCTTCTTTTGCTCGCTCGGCATTTCGCATTTTTATTTCTATCATTGTGAACTTTTTCCTCTCCTGATCCAGTTCATCATGGAGGCTCATCATTTCTGTTTCCAAAGTCAAGTTTCGCTGTTCTAAGCTACAAAGGATGTGGGGGTGGGGGTGGGGGTGGGAGGGGGGCGGGCAGGGAGGCAAGAGTAAGAGATAAAGTGATTTTATTCACTTGAAATGCAAGAGGCATACAAATATTTTCTAAACTCTATGATGCTTAGGAAATTGGAATAAAGCCCTTTCAATGATTTAAAAGATGTAATTTTGTTTTATTATTTTACTATTTGCTAAGATGATTTACTGTCAGTTTAGTAATTAGTCCCAAGGCCTCTCTTGTAAGCAGCTGTCATTTAATAGAAAATAAGTGAATGCCAGCACAGAGAAACCAGTGACACATGCCGGAGAGAAGAGACAGAAAGCTTCCTGGACGTTAAATTGTAAACTTGACTATACTAAATGCAGCGGGGAAGTCTGATAAAGTTGAAAAAACAAAACAAAACAAAACAAAAAACAAAACAGGGGGCCATAACATTTGCTTTCTATAAAAGGAAAAATAGTGACAGGAAAATGTCATTGTTGGTTAAATTCACTGCTAAGAATGGGGTTTTTGGAAGCATATAGAGTCCCATCTTGTAAAAGAGTACCCAGAGTAGTGAGCTTACATTGATACGAGAGGTATCAATCTCTCGTATCACACGTGTTAAATAAGCACTGCATCTTATATTTTGTAAAAATAAAGCCCATTCCTTGTTATCCCCAATTCTACTGCTTCCCAAGTTATTAATATAGCTTAGGACATAGGTAGTTTATATCTGTATAAATTGATAGTTGTTTTGTACAGCTGTATTAATAGCTTTTGGATAATTGTAGAATTCACAGTAACGTCTTTAAAAACAGAGACTGTTTTCTCCATAACCACTAAGATCCAAATCATACACATATATTATTCAAAAGAGGTGTACTTTGGTCATGGCTGACTTTTTAATTTCTCCTGTTCTGAGCAAAAGTCCCGTGGGACTCATTCAAATTTGCCAAGCCAGTGAAATCTGAAAGATTAATGCACGTGTAGCTCTCAGAAATCTGATTATTTTAATAACAATTTTAAAATTAAAATCTCAATTATATTTCTACTTTGAAAAATTTGATCCCCACGTGTTCATATTTCACCCGGATAATAAGAACATTTAAAAATTAATCTTCCTTCTCTTTGTAAGCAACTAGAATTTTAAAAATATAATACTTCATATTTTGTAATCTTACATTATTTAGAAGGCTATTTTAAACATATGACCACATTTTTACCTGAAAATTTGGTACTATGCTGGTTGCCACTCAGAATTATTCTACAATGTATTCTCTTTGCTTTCCAAATCTATTTTAGAGCCAAAATGTTGGAAGAACTTGAAGTTGAAATACTGAGAAAGACAACCGTTATAAAACAATATATTGACACGTTTGCATGTATCAGGTGCTTGTATGAAACTTCCAGGAATGAAAAGGACTAAGTTGAATACAGAAGAAATTCCTCCCAATGTAAACATTTAAAAGTGCTGGAAAATTTTTAAGAAATATATTTTAAAAATACATAATCAAGGTTAAAATAAAAGAGTGGCTCCAGGTATCAGAACCAAGGAAGAAACTGAAATATAGAACAACAAGTAGAAGCACACGAGGGCTATTAGTCTTGGATAGAGGCCACAGAGCTTGGGGCTAGGATATCCTTTTTCACATGAGGACAGAAGATGAGGCCTCCAGTATTAGGCAGGCAGAAAACTACAAGTAATTTAACTGAGAGCTTGGAACATCAACTGTTTTTATGAAGAAGAGACTACAAAATCTCTAATCATGGGCCTGGGGAAGTATCAGAATGGAATTAGCACATCAGAGTATTAGTAAGCTACAAACCAGGTCTGAGAAAAGTTACCTATAATGCCTCAAAAATGATAATTATAGAAATTTAATATGGGGAAAAAGAAGTTAACAAAGAAGGAGGACAGATTAACAAGGTTAAACATATCTTAATAAGGGCTCTGGAAAGAGAAAATTGAGAAGGTGGGAGATGAAATAGACAAAAAGATGATGAAAAAAAATTCCAGAATTGTAAAGATGTAAGTTGTTAGATCAAGTGATGAAACAAAGTTTGAAAGTTAAATAAGGGAAAAGACATATCAGGAAGTTGCTAATCAAAGGAAGATGGTATGACAATATTAATATCAGAAAAAAACAGACTTTAAGGTAAAAAGCATTATTATAATGAAAAATAAGCACTAATGAATGATAAAAGGATCAATTCTTCAGGGAGCTATGAATAACTCTAAACTTCCATGCACCTAGTAGTAGTCTCAAATTGTTCAACATAAAATATGACGAAGTTATAAAAAGAAACTGATAAACTCAGAATACGGCTAAGAAATTTTTAAATATCTTTCTCAAAAATTATAGATCTAGCTGATAAAAATGAGGAGAAATGTAGAAGCTTTGAATAGCCTGATTAACAGACTTGAGCTCTTGGTCATATATAGAATCCCAATCCAGTAATAAGGGAATAGTTTAATGGACCAAATGATTAATATCATTCAGATGAACGTCTCTGATCACAGTACAATATTTTCTAAGAAAATTAAGTTGGAAATTGGCTGAGTACAGTGGTTCACGCCTGTATTCCCAGCCCTTTGGGAGGCTGAGGTGGGTGGATCATTTGAGGTCAAGAGCTCAAGACAAGCCCAGCCAACATGGTGTAACCCCCGTCTCCACAAGGAAAAAAAAAATTAGCCAGGCATGGTGGCACACATCTGTAATCCCAGCTACTCAGGAGGCTGAGTCAGGAGAATCACTTCAACCTGGGAGGCAGAGGTTGCAGTGAGCCAAGACTGCATCATAGCACTCTCCAGCCTGGGCTACAGAGTGAGACTCTGTCTCAAAATAAATAAATAAATAAATAAATAAATAAATAAATAAAAGAAAAAAGAAAGAAAAAGAAACCAATTTGGAGAGGGAAAAAGAACACATCTTTCAAAACTAAAAACCATATATCTCATTGATTGATAATTAAAATATTATCTATCTGTCTACCTACCTCCTATCTATTTACCTACTATCTATCCATCTATCCATCCATCCATCCACCCTTAATACTTGTGGGGTAAATCTATAAAGGAATTTAACATATATCTCATTGATAATTAAACAAAGTAAAATATTATCAATCATCTATCATCTATCTATCCATCTACCTACCTATCTATTACCTACCTACCTATCTATCCATCCATCCACCTTCAATGCTTGTGGGGTAAAGTTACAAAGGAATTTAAAGAGAAATGAATAACTCTAAACAGAAATGATCAAAATTTAGCCAGAACAGTTGACTTTCTATAATTTCATGGCTAGGCCACGAGCGGTCCCCCACCCTACCCTACTGCAGACCTCTCCCTTGACCTGTCACGAGGGTAAGAATGTGACAGTGAAATGGCCCACTGAGATGACCTCTATTGGGAAGTTCTATCAGCTTATCAAAATTTCTGAAATATACCATAGATCTCAGAACAAATATGCATCGGCAACATCCTCAGAAATGAATGTATCCATCTGCAAATTCATGATGATAACTTTTTTCCTTTTCTCCTACGTTTAAGGTGTGACCCCTTGCCTCAAAATATAAGCTTCCCAGTGTGAAATGCTAATTTATCATCATGGATTAGCAGTAATTCAGAATTCCAATACATAGTGGTTCCAAAAACTACATTCAGAAAGAATAGTAACCCTTTAAGATGATGACCCTATATTTTTATTTAAATCTCCTGTCACTCTGCATTGTATAGAAAAATTCAAACCAGAACTCCACTCGGTGAAATTTACCAAAAGAATACTTTCCATGGAAGTAATTTTTCAATCTCATTTAAAAGTACTATTTTTTAGTATTTATTTTGCCATAGCTTCTGAAAGTATGTTATCTTTTTGTCTGATAACTGATAAATGAATAGGATACATACTAAGGTAAATTAAAGCCACCATAACAACTGACTGAGGATCCTAGCACACCATGGAGGAAGGGTTGCCCAAATCACACAGCCTGAAACTGGGACTGAGACCGCTAGAATAGCTACTCCTACTTTGATCACTTTATGAGAAGATGCACATTGATATAATTAGGTTTTAGCATAATTGCCTCTTTATAAATCATAGTTTTTCTTCCTCATTTAGGCTCAGTCTTCCTTGTTCATGTGAACACACTTCACGTCACCCCTCTTCTCAAGAATCTCCATGGATTTCTATCTCAGAGTAAAAGTCAAAGGCTGAAAATGAGCCTGTCAATCCTCTGTCACCTGGCTCTTATGGCCTCTCTGAGCTCATCTGAATCCTCAGGGTCTGGAACAGAGACTGGCAGAAAGAAGGCACTCACTCAACATTCAATGATTGAAAGAATAAACATGGAGGTTTATTTACTTCTACTTTTATTTTTACCCTAGTTTCATCCTTCTCTTGTTAGTGAAAACTAACAGCCTCCTAACGCTCTGTCCATCTCCTCACAGCCCCTCTCCTTCCAGCCTTCTAATGCAAATCTATCTATTTAATAATAACCAAAGATGACATTTTTTGAACCTATTCTATACCAGGGAAATATTCAATCACTTCTTATGTGCTTTTGAGGTAGATACTACTAGTACTTAAATTGTTTACATTAGGGAAGCAAAGCTCACAGAGATGAAGCTACCTTGCACAAAGACACAAAGCTCATAAATGGTGGAGCGAACTTAGGTTTCTTTGACTTTGGAGCCAGCAAATGTCACCCTCAGTGTGATCCCGTCCCACAGTAGGAGGCTACTGAGCCCTCTCTGGTAGTTACAACCTCCAGATTTTCCTCACCTCTTTATCCTGGACTCATACTCTATCTTCTGTTTGGTCATTTCCTGTTTCAGGCTGGAAACTAAACTGTGCAGTGCACTGTGGTTGCTGCTGCTGTTACCAACAAATGTCTCACTGTTGTCACTGCTGCTGGTGGCACGACTACTTCGACCTCCCACACTCCTATGGTCACATTTGCTTTCATAGTCCCTGGGGTGGGAAAGGTCTTCCTGTGGGGGCCCATCCAAAACAGGGTCCTCAAAGTTCCCCCCATAAAAGTCTTGCTCTGGACAGGTGGTGGTGGAAGAGCGACAGGAGTTGGAGTTCTCGGGGAGGGAGATTTCACAGGAGGAAGTGGACCAGGTGGCGCTGTCAATGCTCTGCTTGTCATCAAGGTTCATCATGGAAAACTGTTGATGGACGTTATCGTAGGTGGACAGTCTGTTGTGCTGGCCTGACTCTCCAGCTTGTTCCTTCTGCTTGTTATCCCTCAGGGTCACATAGCCATTTGGCAGCCAGCTCATGTTTCGTCCATTTGCAGGGTTCCCGTGTGTGTCACTGTTCAAAATGCCCATGCGCACCGTTCCATTCTGTACACTGTGCGTGCCCATTTTAGTACCAGATCCCTTCAGTGAAGAGGTCCTTCTAGACTGTAGGCTTCCATTGGGGGTGGTTTGCGCTTTCTCAAGACCTTCTGCATTACTGCTGCTGAAGGACCCATTGGTAACTATCCCACTACCCTTATTAAAGGCTGGGTTCTTTTTGACCATGAGAGGGGGGCTTCTAGACACATCTAGCTTGTGAACGCTGTTCCTTGGGCTGTTGGTTTTGCTGCCTGATAGAGCTATGGGGGATCCATTGTCCATGCTGCTTCTCTGGGGTGACTCAGACTTGTCCCAGGAGCACTGCCTACCAGGGCTGTTCTTGGTGTTATTGTTCTCCTTGTTCTGTAACTGCCCCGTGGTGGCTTTCTTTTGAATTTCATTGTTGTTGTTGCTCACTCCATCTTGGGGTTTGCTTTGTAGTTCTGCATCTTTGGGAAAGAGGGAATCATGTTTGCTAATCATCATTGACATCAACTGCTGGACCACCACGGTGCCTAGAATTGCATAGAACATAAAGTAGCACGAGTGAGACAGTTTTTATTTATTTCTATTTCAATGTGACTCTTAAAGAAACACATTCAAGTGAACACTCAGCAGTACCAAACCATATTTTTAACTATGATAACAGCAATAGAAGCTAAAAGAACTTGAGCATTTACTCTGTGCCATGAACTGTGTCAAGCACTTTGCTCTTATAATTTAATTGAATTTTGAAACAAATCTATACATATATATTGTTATTATCACTGTATTATAAAGGTTCAGTAACTTGATTAAGGTTACATGTTAAGGACCAGACCCAGGGCTTGATCCCACAGTTAATCATTAAAAACCTGGGCTCTTAATCATAATGCAATATTTATTACAAATTTGACATTTAATTCTGAGAACTATTTCTTAAGAGGAGGTCACTGTGACCTCTCATCTAATAATTGCCTCAAACTATCAAGATACTTTAGTGGTATCTGTAAACGGAACCCGATACAATCAGGGTGGATGCATGGTTTCTCTAATGTATCAAGATAATGAAATCCATAAGACGTTTGTTTGCCATTCAAAAGCTTTAGGGCATTTTAAGTGACATCAGCCAGAACGGTGTAGTGAAGACATCCAAAAATCCTCTTCACCATAAAAGCAACTAGCAAAAATTTCCAGAATCAACTCTTTTGGAATCCTGTAAATTAACTAATGGCTTGATGCAATCTGGAGAGTGTTTACTTAAGAAAAATGGTGGAATGTCAGTAAGAGCAGCAAGGTCTGTGGCATTTTAACTTGCTCTAATCTTATCCTCCTCTCCTTGAAAACCAACAGCCCCCAATCACAAAGAAAACCAGCCATCTGGCAGCCACTGGAATGGGGGCAGAGCAGGGTTGGATTTTAGTTAGTAAATATAGTTTCTATATAAAATACTTAAAACTTGAGATTTGGTGAAGAAAATGATGAAAAAAGGCTTTGGACAATGCAGAATTTCATTAAAACAGCAGCTAATTGAGAGGTTGTCAGGGAGTAGAAACCTGACCTGGGGCAAGACCACTTTTTAGCTTCTGGTGACACCTGGGAAATATAATTCAAAATCAGATTTTGAATAGGAAAAAAATATTGTATTCATTTATATTCTACACACTTTTCCTGCGATGATTAAAAACTTATTAATATTTTAGACTGCATATCAGCAATAAGCAAGATCTACTGCTACATCAATGTTATTCAAATTTTGAAGTTCATAAAAATTACCTGGAGATCCTGTTACAAGGAAGATTGAAATTCAGTAGGTATAGGGTGGAACATGAGATTTTGCATTATAAACCAGCTTCCAGATAACATCAGCAATAATAGAATAGTAGCGCTGGGATCACCTGGAAGCTTGAAAATTTCAGCACCCAATACAGAGCTTCTGAATCAGAATCCTGAGGTGATTCCTGGGCACATTACAGTTTGAGAAAACTGTAGTAGATGCAAATATTTCCCTTATATCTTCCAAATTAAATTTCTTGGAAGTCCGAAAGATAGGATTCATTTTTTTTTTTTTTTTTCAGATGAGAACATTGGGGGTCAGAGAGGTTAAACTGTTTGCTCAGGGCACAGAGACGATGTGATTAGGGTGAAATGTAATATTTAGTCTTATTCCAAATTATGCATTTGTCCTAGTATATTTCAGCTGCTGCAATTTAAAACTGTAGCAGTAATAAGTAAACTTGGGATAGTTTTAAAGATAAAACTAGATAAAGATAAATATCTATTGAATTACCATCAATCATTACAGAATTGTGAAAAAAGACTGAAAGTAACAATTCGCTGTATTATACAGCCTTCTTTTCTCTTTTAGTAATCTCCGAATTTGTCATCATATTTTCCATGCATGTTAGCAGTGGATCTGATAAAAAGGATTTTAGAGCAGTTAGAATAACACTGTCAAACTTGTGTACTGTGCTTGAAGACATTGTGTATTCAATGCCATTTTACTATTTGCCCATATGCAGACACACTTTCAGAGGTTTGCAGTTTCCATTATATTTGACTCTGTCTAGTATTTTGGGAAAATGGGCCTTTTTCCTATCATTGGAATGTTAACATTTGAAGTATCACTGCTTCCTGTCATAGCTATGAACTGTGTGGGTGCATGTAATTAATTGAAGAGCAACATCCCTAAGGTGTCCATGATGAGTCGGCGAACAGCCATGTCAAAGTATACTTGCCACAATTATGGAGTATGAGTGTCAGGTCCCTAGAGATTTAGAACTGTCTTATGTATCTGGGGAAGCTTTGATTCCATCTAGTCTCTGGGACAATAAATGGCCATAGCCCCTTGTAAAGGGACTTTCTTAGAATTTTTATAGCCGTTTAGGACAGACTAACATGGTAGTAATGATGATGTGTGTACCACTAAACACACTATCATTTTTTCCTTTTGATTCGCTGTCATTTTCTTCTTAGAATACCAGTGAGGAACATGAAGCCCAGACAATGAGGTCAGAGTGGTTATTATAATCACCAGCCCATTCTGAAGAGTCCAAGCATATTCTGAAGTTCCATGGTGCTACACGATCCAGCAATTCTTCCCTGAACCATATAATTTTATCCAGGTTGACTCTAAATACCACCTAATCGGCACTTTTCATCATAAGCATTGGCTAAAAATTTGATTTTTCTTTTAAAAACCTAGGGCCTTTAAATATAATATGTAAATGCAAAAATATATGCAAATGACAGTATTCTGTGCAATATAGTTTCAATTTGTATTTTTTGCAATGAGTAACTTTGTACACGTGTCATTTTGCATGTTTGAAGATATCTGTAAGATACCTGATGATTTTTGACAAATATATATACTCCTGAAAATACCACCTAATCATGATATAGAAAAGTGACACTTAAGCCTCTTTGGAGTCAGTTCCCTCCTCCTAACTCTGGCTCATGGCATCCTTTATATGCTTTCTGTCTCTATAGTTTTGCCTTTTTTACAATTTCATATAAATGGAATAATACAGTATGTAGACTTTCATATCTAGTATTTTCCACTTGGCATAATAATTTTGACATTTATTTGTGTTGTTACATGTAGCAGTTCGTTCTTTTTATTGTCAAATAGTATTACTTGCTGTAGATGTGCCACAATTTATCTATTCACTAGTTGATGGAGAATTGGTCTGTTTTCAGTTTGGGGCTAATACGAATAAAGTCGATATGAACATTTGACTGCAAGTCTTGGGTGAACATATGTTTTCTTTTTCCTTGGGTAAATGTTTAGCACATGACTCTGCTGGGTTTTATGGTTACTGCATATTTAAGTTAGTAAGAACCTACCTAATTCTTTTGTGAATTGGCTCTAACATTTTGTATTTCTACCAGCCAAACTTGGTATATTTTCAGTCTTAACTTTACACTTTGTAAGAAATGTGTAGAGACATCTTATTATGGTTTACATTTTAGTTTTTCTAATGACTAAAGACGCTGAGCATCCTTCTGTGTATTATTTGCTATTTGTGTATCTTCTTTGTGTATATTTCAAATCTTTTGCCATTTTTTTTCATTGAGTTGACTGTCTTGTTTTGCATGAGTTCTTTACATATTCTTAAAACAAGTTATTTATCAGATATGCGGCTTGCAAATGTAGTCCCCACTTCCAAAAAGGCTTGACTTTTTGAAAAGTGTCAATTTTGACAAAGTCCAACTTACCAAATAATTTTTTTAAAAAATATTTTTATAGTTAGAGCCTTTTGTGTCCTAAGTCTTGACTAGCACAAGGTCATAAGATGTCTTTAAAAATATTTTCTTCTATATATCTTATACTTTTAACTCCTACATTTGGGTCTGTGATCCATTTCAAGTTTTTTGTATGTGATGTTACAGTTTGAGGTAATTTATTTATATTTTTTAGGGCTATGAAATTGTTCCAGCATCATTTGGGGAAATGACCATCCCCTTTCCATTGAAATACCATGGTACATTGGTCAAAAATCAAATGACTACACATATTTCTGGACTATCTGTTCTATTTCATTGATCTGTGTGTCCATCTTTATATCAATACCATACTTTTAATTATGTGTGGCTTTATACTAAGTCTTGGAATAAAGTTGTGTATATTCAACTCTGTTATTTCCTTTCAAATTGTTTGGGCTATTCTAGATAGCTTTTATTTCCCTGTAAAACTTATAATCAGATTGTCAATCTCTACAAATAAAAATTCTGGTGGAATATTTTTGTGACAATTATATTGAAACTATAGGTCAATTTTGGGAAAATTAATAGCTTAATAATATTGAGTATTCTAATACATAAGCAGGGTATATTTCCCCATTTATGTAGTTCTTATTTGTTTGTTAATGTTTAGTAGTTTTCAGAGTATGTCTTATACATGCTTTCTTAAATTTCTGCCTAAATATTTTAAATTTATGAGTGTTGTTCTAAATAATAATTTTTATTTCAATTTCTAATTGTCCAATGTAGTATATAGAAATACAATAAAGTTTTATAAATTGACTTTGCATTATGTGATCTTTACATATTTGCATATTAGTTATATTAGTTTTATTTGACGATTACATAGAATTTTCTACATAGATGTTCATGTTGAGTGTTTTACATATTCCTTTCCAATTTTATACCTTTTATTTTTTATTACTGGCTAAGATTTCCAGTACAATGGAAGTGGTGTGATAAAGTAAACTTACCTTAAACCCGATCTTAGAGGAAAAGCACTTGGTCTTTTATCATTAACTGTGGTATTTTGACTACATTTTTCTGAGATAACCTTTGTTAATCTGAGAAACTTTAATTTTTTTTTATCTGCATCCGCGATAGTTTTTTTGTATCTTAAAGTGGTGTATTAGTACAGTGAATTATATTGATTGATTTTATATGGCTAACCAACCTATCTTCCTGGGATAAACCCCACTGGTGCTGATTTATTATCCTTTTTATATGGTGAAGTCAATCCAGTAAGGTTTTGTTTAGGATTCATATGTCTATATTCATGAGGGATATTATTCTG